AGCTCAGTCGTCAATTTAATTTTGAAAGCTTCTTCATCAACACTTTGAAGCGCGGCGACCTCTTGTTCCATTTCAGCAATTATTTTATCTTGAAAGTTCAGTTGCTGTAACAGGCCTTCCTCAACATGAATTTCCTGCGTCAACTCAGACTCCAAGACATCAAGAGCATCCTTGGCCATTGCAAGTTCCTCCTCTAAGCGAGCTATTTCCGCTCGACTCGATTTTATATCTCGGCGTAGGTTGACCTTGGCTTGTGTTCTTTTGCCAACATTCACCCTAAGCTGATGACTGTGGGCTCTTAATTGTTGGAGTTCAGAGTTGGCAGATTCTTGAGAATTACGCCACGCTTGCAGCCTGGATTCCATATGAGAAGCGATGTAAAAAGGTACGCCTTTGGTGCGAAGAGTTTGCAGAAGTTCAATATGTTGTCTCAACTCAATCAAATAAGCGGTGACTGAATCAGCTAAGTCGTTATACCCTTCCTCTCTGAACCCTGATATAAAACGCTCAAAAGATTTTTTATAATTCTCAAAATACGATCTTTTGAAGAGAATGCGATCGACCATAGAGTTCAAAAAGGAGATGAAGCCTTGGAGATTAGAGCAGATAACAGACTTGTCCGGATCGTCATCAACCAATAACGCTTGGATTTGAGTTGATAATGATGAAGGAACTGCGAGAAAGTCAAATAAGTCAGTACAGTATATATATATGCATACAAGACAACAAACTAAAGCATACCAAATTCGACGGAAGAACCTTCAGCATGACTTGGTTCGCTCAAGGATGGTAATCTGGATTCCTGAACAGTCAAGATTGGTTCAGGAATGGTAGCTGTTGATGCACCCGCTACATCAGGGACTTTTTCAACTAAAGTCTCAGAGGACGGCGGGTCCAAACTAAGAGACTCTTTAAGAGGAGATTCTACAAACAGGAGGATTACAATGAGCATAATGATAATCCGAGCTTGAAACAAACGATAAATGAAACTCACCAATTCTAGTCACAACATCGGCCGATGTACCAACTTCTTCAGTTGGTCTCGCTTTTGTTGCAACTGGACTAATCTGGGGAGTGACAGTGACTTCTATCATCATGGGGTCCATAGGAGTAGAAGGTTGAGGTTCAAGAACTGATGATTGCAAATCAACTTCGGTTCTTGTCCACGGCACAAGTTCACTACTCTCCAGTCGATCAGACGTACCAATGATTATAGTAGTATCAGTTCCAGCAACTGGTCCTATAATTCAAATACTTATATGGTTAATCAAGTTAAAATATATATGTATGCATATATGGAGTTTACAGAATAAAGGTCTTACTTTCAGAAGGACCTGCTTCTGTTGGACCGACTCCAACGCTGGATTCCGTGGCTGCACCAGGAGTTTCCCCCGATAGTAAGTCGGAGATATACTCATGGTCGCCTTCAGAGAGATTGAAATCGAGGTGATGTTCATTGAATTCCTCGACCTCTGTTGTATGCGTGGTCTCTCCTCCAACAGATTCGTGCATTGTGACATCTACAAAATGTGTTGAGTCGTAAATGACACATAAATTTAGACGAATTTGCTCAAAAAGACAATTAATTTTACCTTCGTTGGTCGGGGCTGATTCGAGAGCTCCACTACTGGTACCTGCTTCTTTTAATTTGACTAAAAGGAGAGAAAGCGCACAGGTCATTAGAGGAGGCACACGGTCCGACTCATTCATTTCTCGGATTTCTCTTCCGAGAGGAGAAAGATCAGTACCTGTGTCCGCAGCTGATGGATCAACGTCAGGAGTGGGTGGAACATCAGCCGATCCTTCCTTCAGAGCATCATGCATTTGTTGGACGAAGCTTGTTTCCTCAATTTCCATACCTCCGGGAGAAGCAGCATCAGCTGGCAATTCTCCTTCCTCTCGACTCCCTGCAGAAGTTGAACATGAAATAAGTTTGAACATCAAAAAAGTGTAAAAGCTATAAAAACAAATCGTTACCTTGCTCATCAGAAGAAGCACTACGACCAGACGCCTCTTCTACAGCAGGAAGATGAACGCGCGGTTTAGAAACAGCTTTCTTCTGTTTCTTCAGAGGGCGTGCACCAGAACCTTCATGACGATGTTTGGTGCGTAACTCAGCTCGGGGAGAAACTTGAGTTTGAGCTTGAGTAGAAGTTCGAGATATTTGCCGACGAATGAGAGGCACCATATCCTCTTCATCCTCTTCGTCGCAACTAAGAACTTCTACCGTCATCCGGTTAGGATGTTCCATGACGACTCTTTCCTTACGTTTCTTTGGAGCAGCTTGTGGTTGGGTCGGAGCGACAGAAGGCCTTACAAGTCCTCTATCAAAGAATGAATCGGGAAGGCCAGATACTTCCTCAGAACTTGATTCATTCTCGTCTTCCCCTTCTGAAGTTTCGGTTGCTTCACTATCAAACTCCTCTTCACTATCAACTGGGAGAGCCGGTTCCTTTCCTTTCCTTGATGATTCAGCAGCCTCTTTTCCTCGAGGCGACATCACAGCTTCACGGGTCACTTCTGTTGCTTGTCGTGGAGCTATCTCTTCCTCTGAGTCTGATATCCTCCTGCGTCGAGTGACAATATTGGCGGCTATCAACCATTTGCAAAAGAGGAAGGTCATCCGTAGGGGCGGTGCCTCTAAAGGAAGATCGAATTCGACATTTGTACAGCCGGCGATGCTCCAGAACCAAGCCCTCGCACCGTCGATAAGTCCACCTCGAGAGCTAAGGTGGCGGTTTGGATTGCCAACATATATCTGATCATAGCCGAACTGACGGGCGAATCGACATGGGAGATAAGGTTCAATGTGACAAGTATCTCTTACCCTGAACAACAGATATCCAGGTCGAATGTTCATCAACCATCTGAAGCACCCGACATCCAAGATGGTACGATTCTGCCTTGGGTCTTCAGCATCCACTAAGGTAGTGTTGTAAGTACCGGAGAACTGAGGGAAGCAGGGAAAAAATTCCCAACATTTGTGAATTTTAAACTGCCTCGTTATGTCCGGCTCTCGATGTTTGCTCCATTTGCAATTCTCGAGATTTTGCAACAGAGGGACACTGAGATCTACCGTATCAGGAGCCTCCATTAAATCTGGTCGATGAAGTACCAACCAGGCCATTAAGTAAGTATAGGGCAGCTCCAGCTTCGGAACGGACAGGCTGGCGGAAGGTTTCTTTTTCTCCTGAGTAAATGCGGAGATTAGTTGCCGCAATCCACTATGAATATCGGCCACCATAGCGGGAAGCAAAGATAATTTGCGACCTGTAGCCAGCTGGACGGCCGGATACAACACTTCCATTGGCATCGCATCTGCGGATTGATGGGGAACTACACATCTCTTTAACCATAAGGCTAGAAAACCTGCCAGCAGAGCAGTAGGGCTAATCGGAACACCAGCTTGCCACAGATAAGAGCGGAACTTAGTGCCGTGCAAAAATCCATCTTCTGAGCGCGAAGTATAAGAATGCGCGTTGGTTTTCTCTAACAAACGGTTAATTTCATCCGTACTCAAGGGAGACAATCCGCACACATCTGCCGAACGGACATCCAGATTCTTGAAGAGATAATCAGCGAATTGTTTTAAACTGACTTGAGGAGACTTCTTTCTGGCTTTGGGCTCCATCTCGGCCATGGCTATATGATAATGACAGGTCAATTCCCATAGAGTGTCATAGGTCGCAGTCGAGCTATCTTTCATCTTAATCAGCTGATTGGTGGTCGGAAAGAACTCTTGATATGGGACATCGCCCATAGGCAAAGCAGACACTTGCATCATTTCATGCAGTGGTAGTCCAAGTTCCCCGTTCTTGGTAAAGAATGTATTGGTGTCCGGGTTGTAGATCTCGAACAAACAAAGGAAATGACTTACACTGCTCTGCAAGCCATGCATGGTGGCACGAATCGGGACATCCAACCCTAATCCTGCTAATTCTCGCCCAAAACGTTTCAACACATATTGGGTCATCCTGGTCCACCACCACTTGTTCCCAGAATAATGGACCCATCCATAACACCTGAAAGTCTCTCTGGGCAATCTTTTTCCTGCTGCCGCTAACCGGTTCTTCACAGTGTTGGCTTGCACTATCTTTTCGTTCTGAGGAATATTGTCTTGTCCTAAGACACCCGGATGAAGTCCTCTCACATGAGCTCTTTCACTGGAACCTGGAGTTGCTTCCTTTCCAATGAAACCACAATGAATGTGCTCGTGGTTTTCGGTTAATTTCCAGAACATCTCTCGTCCAACTGATAGGTTCCTGAACATTAACAGTGAATGATCCCGAGGGATAAAAGGCAGATATAAGAATGATGATCCACTCTGGTGCAACCATTGCGCAGGCTGGCAGAAAGCAATCTTCGGATCTTTTACCGAGTCACCAAATAAGAAATCTGGCTTCCTTATGCATTGATTCGAGTCTTGCTCCGAGATCAAGGGCGCATCTGTGATTAATCGTCGTAGAACACGACAACTACCTCGCTGGATTAATTCACTATCACTTCCGTTATAATCAGATTTAAACTGGGGAGAGAATTCAATTAACGGGATCCCCTCGTAATAAGAGTGGGTCACGCTACTCCGGCCAGTAATCACATCAGCAGTAAATGTGGTAGAAGGAAATCGGACTGATAAAAGAGGCATACACATAAATGGTGTAAGTGTCATCCTAAAATTTTAGAGAAAAACGGTATATCTCATTCTATAAGATATAGTCGTTATCTCATAACAGGTGTGACGATTTTCTATCCACCATATGTATAAAGGAGGTATGCGGGCATTATAACGGCATACCAAAACCTTTCAATACATATGGGATGATGTAAAATCGCCCCTGTGTATTATGAAGTGTGTTTTGTCAAAGCAAAACAAACACTTTTAAGCGTCGATCCCCTCAAAGGAGGATACCGGCTCTTCTCGAAGGTACCTCAAAGGATACAAACGAGGATCTGCAAGCAAATACAGGTGCATATATATATGGAATGGACGAAATACAATATTTAAATTCGTGAAAAGGTGAAAGAAATATACCTCCACGTGAGATCGCAGCAGGGGCAGCCTCCTCAGGGCTCTGAACAGTCGGTCGGATTCCCTTCCCTCGAGCTCTACGTGGCGACATGATGAGTATGTGATCTACATTGAAATCCAAGAGGAAGGTTAAGATTTTGAACATGAAATCGACAAAAAAATAGGACAAATACAACTGAAATGCTGCATGCACAGTCACAGGTTGCCAAAAGTCAAGATTTTGAAGAAAAGAGGGGAAACAGACCTTTCAAATCCAAATGAAATCTCTTCAAATCGAAGCACCACCAAAGTCAGAAACGAAGAGAAGAAGAAGAGGTGAAGAACTGGTCGAAAATCGCTCGAAAATCGCCCAAGAATCGCCTGAAAATCGCAAAAAAGTCGACGTGAAAAAACCCTAAAACCCTAAGTCCCGACTTTTATAGCCTCTGCCTCGCTGAGCGAGACAGAAAACTCTGTCTCGCCGAGCGAGACAGTAAACTTTTCTGTTTTGCACTATGGAACAGTGGAATACTCCAATGGGTACACGAGTCTAAACTGTATTCCCACCCTCAACAGGAAGTTTCTGGAGAATATTAATCTGAATATTCTTAAGGATAACCTGAGGAATTCTCAATGGATATACCAATTCAATGGTAAACGCTGAATTCACAAGAGCAAGTATCAACTTCAATTCAAGATCTCGACAACGGTCAAGCGATAAACGCGACGCCGGGAGAACGTTAGCTATTCTACGAAGAACTGGATAGACTAACAGCAGAAGAGGTTAAACATTGAAGCCATTTACAAGTCCTTTCATACGATCTATTCAGCCAAGCATTGAAGGGATCGTAAGTAAAATCTATCTTATCCAAAGTATCCCATGCTCCTCTATAAAAGAATGAGTCTGGAATACTTTGGAGGGGGTATCTGTAGGCGTCAAAAAATGCTAATAGATATCCCAAGCATAGAGAAGATCACTCAAAAATTCACAAGAAAGGATTTCATACTGTTTTGGAAAAATCAAAACAAGTATGAACTGTCTCGCCAGCGAGACAGTCTTTGCTGTCTCGCCAGCGAGACAGTGTTGAAATAGTCAAAACTACATTTGTAACTGCCCTACACGTGTCCATTAACTGCCAAGGGACGTGGGAAACATCATGGGCGAAAATCACGTGGATAACTGCCAAAATAACGGAGTTTGAAACGTGAGAGAACAGTTACAGCGAGAAACTGCCATTTTCCGAGACAGCATTTACTGTCTCGCTGAGCGAGACAGCAAATTTACTGTCTCGCGGGTCGAGACAGCAAACGCTGTCTCGCCCAGCGAGACAGTAAACACTGTCTCGCCGTACTGACTTCTTCGATTGTTAAGTTTTTGCAGTTACTGACCCTTGAGGCTATAAATACCCCCCTAGGGTCACTTCTGACGAGGATCGAGCATTTGTTAGAGCATTCCAGAGCAGAGAGAGCAGAGATTTGAGTTCTTTTCTTGCAACGCCTTGAAATTAAGCTTCGACTTGATTTTAAGAAGAACGACTATCTTACTTCGATAAGATATCGTTTCAATTTCTACTTCGATAACGAAGTTAGAATCATAAGCCCCCTCTTCACGATCTGTGAATCGGCGGTCCACGAACCAAAGCGTTCCCGGCACAGGCAAAGTCCCACGAAAACGAGAATTGATAGACGATTTTCGTGTTTGTTTCTCAAGAGTTGTAATTTTTGTTTTGTTGTGTAGAAAAAGTCTTATAAAAAGATTATTCTTTCGAATTTGTTGTAATCGAACAAAGTTATAATGAATTCCACAGCAGCGACTTTTGAAAAACACGAGACAATTGGGATCTTGAGAGGATGATAAGAGATATTCTTCAAATTTGGTGGCGAATTCGTATTTCGACCATGGATTCAGCCGCGAGACCGTTGGCTCCCACTG